CGCAGCAGGCGAAGAACGACGTTCTTCGTCTGCTCAATGGGCTCTATGGTGAGCTCCTATGGGGGACCGTGACGGGTCATGGTCCCCCAGAGGAACGGGGTACCCAGAAAATCGCCGATGACGCCGCCGCTCGATTTAATACAAGGGATCTAATTAGATCTCTTGTATTAAACGAACAGCGGCTCGCACTGTACATTCAGCTCTGCTTGTCAGGATCAGGGCTGAATGTACAAAAAGAAACTACTCGCCCGGCGCCCGAAACTGCATGTCCCGGGCGTCGGGCGATAGGTATTCGCTCCATAAGACGCAGGCACATTTCCCCCCTCCTTTTGGGGGAAAAAAAGTGCGTCTTATGGAGCGAAAAATACGGTATGTACTATATGACACTAATTGGGATCACATTTTCTCAGCTAAGAGGAGGACAAGTGGGAGTGTTTTAAGGACATATTAAACAGTGGCATTCGCCAATGCATTCCATTACCTCCCAAAAATATAATAATGAGGAAAAAATGGTCTTTAAAAATATAGAATGAAAGGGTCATCATCTGAGATAGATCGATAACGAAAAACAGATTGCTACAGAAAGTAAAAGAAACCCCACGAAATTCTTCAAATATATCATTAGTAAAAAGGTAAGGACACAAAGGCCCCGTAATGGATGAAATGGGGAAGTTGGTTACAAGTGACAGGAGGAAGGCAGGGGTAATAAATACATTCTTTTCTTATACAGACAAAATACACAACAGTAAAACTAAAAGCAATGTACTGACGGTACCTTGGTGACAGTTAAAAAAAAAGACTAGAAAGACTTATTGTGAACAGATCTCCAAAACTAGATGGTTTACACCAAAAAAAAAAAAAGGAAGCAACAAAAGCAACAATAAAATGATATGGAGTCGCCCCTTTCACATCAAAAGCCCCCCTTCCCATCAGGAGCCCTCTTTCCATCACAGTCCCCCCTTTTCACATTTGAATCCTCCTTTCACATCAGAACCCCCTTGCACAACAGAACCCTACTTTACAATCATCACCCCATTGCAACTGGGGCAGCATGGTAGAGGGCAGGAGGTGGAGAAGGTCCGGAAATCTTCTGTATGCTGGGGAGCACCTGAATTAGTGTCATACATTTTCATGGTGCTGGTGGCCAGCTCGTCTGCACCAAGGAAAGGCATGATACTGTGTAAAAAATTTGAGGGCACCCCTGACATCCTGGGGTGCTGCTGCGCCCTGGTCGAGAAAGGCTGATTTATACTTTCTAAACTGTTATACCCCTTAGGCCAAAAATGCAATACATTGTGTGTTAGTGTGTTGGTCATTGAACCCTACTGTGGTGTTAAAAGAGAACTATGGGGTAAGTGTTTTTTTCCATAGTTCTCTTAAGGGTCACGGGAGGACACAAACTAACGTCCTCCCGTGACCCAAAGCTCAGTATATCACGAGCTACAGCTCACGGTATACTGAGACCGCCGCAGGCGGGACGGATCCCGACATTACTGTCGAGATTCACCCAGCTGCGTGAGTGACAGCTGGCTCTGCCTATCTAGAGGCAGAGCCAGCTGTACCCGCCCCCTCCCCTGTCCGTTCCTCCAGTAAGCGCCGAAGGATCGGAGCGGGGAGGGGGGAATCCCTACAGTCACCGCTCTCTGTAGGGAGATGATGGAGAAGTGAGCGAGCGATGGTATGTGTTTGCTCACTTGCCGATCTATTGAGCCGGCGCGTGACAGTTTCATTGTCACACGTCGGCTCAAACTATGAGTTTGAGTGATTTTCACTCTCCTCATAGTTTTCCTTTAAATGTTCCACAATATCTGCCATTATATTCAGATGCACAGATCTCTACTTTAATTCCACAAAGGACCGCCTCCACATACCAGATGGTTTGATGAGGTGTCATTCATTTGGTCCAAACACTGTACACATTTAAGGCCTAATAACTCGACAGTCTTGGCAGTGCTTCGATCTACTCTCCTTGTGCAAATGATAATGCCTTATTAATGACTTGTAAATTATATTTCATAATCCATTTATATGCAAGCAAGTATAGAAATGTAGTCAAATAACTACATATTGTCATCATTTATGTCTTATTAGCTTTTTCCAGTAAGTGTTTAAACTAGATATCAGACATGATGGAAGCAGAATTTCTGTGTTGTGGAGCAAGGATCTTCTTGCAGCAAGATTTTTATTTTGTGAATAGTGATGAAAAATCTCTCTTTTTATATAAGGTATAAACTGTAATTTATGCTATTGAGTTTTCAGTAACCACTTGTGAGTTAAAATGGAGCCTATTTATAAAGGAATGACAAACTGGGAGCTGAAGCTGATAGTGTATGTAAACCATAAAGGTGCCCATACACTTTACAACCCTCGCAAGACTTATAGTTGGTTGTGATCCAACACCAACCCCACTAAATTAGGGTCAGCGATTGTCTTTTGTATAGATACATGTGGAATAAAGTTTGATTTTCGTTAGGCGATCATCGCGTCTTTGCTAGATCATTACATATGCAGCCTAGTCCCGAGAGTGTGCACATGTGGCTCCAAGGAGACCCGGGCAGACAAGGAGCCATACTATAGTTGCAACTGTACACAGGAAGACCTTTGGTATCTAATTTTTCAGAAATGAGGACATTAAAGGTAAAATTAAAGTGCAATTAGGAATTTGATCCATGTATGGCCAGCTTAAGAATGATAGGCTTGTGTTACTGGCCATTGTGTTTGCTGATGTTATGGCGCAAATCTATCTGTGTATTTTTTTGACAAAAATGTTCTGTTTTACACCTTTATACATGTGGCAAATTTCAATAAAGATCCAAACATTTGCCTTTATGTAGCATACCTGACTATAGTCTCCAACAAGTGATAAAGATGTTCCTCTTATATGAGGCACATTTTAATATAAGAGTTGAACATATGGCTTAATGTAACATACTTGACTTTGATCTGCTTTTAGGTCTCTACAAGTTGCAAAGATGTTTTGTATTCATGGTGAGATTTTCAGGAACTGCAGAACAAACTCCAGTCCAATTCCTCTGTTGGATCCGGTCACAAGAATGTTCTGGATCTACAAGGACGGCATTATCCAGGGTTATTTCCTTGGTTTAATAATGATGCCCCTGTTCTTCTCATACATTTATTTATCCCTTAATGGCTTAATCCCTGGACTACAATCTCATGTTTAGTTTACTAATTTGTATTGAGATTGTAGTCCATCACAGGAGTCAGCTTGGAGCAGAGACTACTTTACAACACACACAGGGACCATGTGGAACAAAAGTAGCCACCCTCCAGAAGGAAGGACAGTGTCAGCACCAATTCAGAAATGATTTGAGGATCTACAGCTGCATGATACACAAATAAGATACATTTTTTTGTTGATAGTTAGAGTTTAGCGTCACTTTTAGAGTGAGGACTTTTAGGGCTTGTTAACACCAAAAGTGTGTGCTTTCCAGAGCGGTAGCTGCTGGAACGCACCGCGATCGCTAAGAAACTTCCCCCTGCGTTCTGGGGCGGGAGGGGGCGTGGCAGTGCATTGAATTCAATGGCACAGCTTCCACCTCACCACCCCCCGCCCCCAGTGTGATCGGACGCGTGGCAAGCCCATTTTTTGCGTTTGCCGTGGAAGGGAAAGCTGGCAAAGTTTTACCACGTGTCCGATCGCACTGCGGGCGTGGAAGCGGTGCCATTGAATTCAATGCACCGCCACGTCCCCTCCCGCCCCAGAACGCAGGGGGAAGTTTCTTAGCGATCGCGGTGCGTTCCAGCAGCTACCGCTCTGGAACGCACACGCTTCCGGTGTGAAAAAGCCCTTAAACATTTTCTAGTCCTATATTTTTCTATGTAACAGAGCCATATGGCACTTTCTAGAATTTCTGTGTATTTGTATAAAGAATCTACCAGGTGTATAGTTTTCATCCCTCCCCCGAATGTACAAGCAGATAATAGATGACATAATTCATATAAAATATTTCATTAATAACTTTCTCAAGGACTTGGCTGTGAGTCAAAAGAGATGAGACAAATTAGAAAGAATTCACAAATATAATTAATTTAATAATTCAATCAAAAATATAAATTTTAGATTTCAATTTTACAGCATACTTTAGGACAACTGAAACATAGTAGAAAAAGGTGGACAGAGTTTATCATGGCATGGCTTTTGTTCTCTTCTTTCTTTTCCTTTTTTTCCCTGTCTGTCCCTTTTTTATGACTCAGTGGAGTTGAATGTGTAATGTCATGTTTAGATGGTTGGTATAGTATTGTCTGGTTTTACGTTGTATGTGTCATATAATGTTTTGATGAAAACAATAAAATATTTGAAATAGACAATCCGACAAAGCGTGACAATTTTTCTTAGTACTGTGCAGTGATTCTGTAAAACACACTGGAGGGGAAATAGTTGTATATGGGTGTATTGATAATTCAGACTTTTTTTTTCTTTCAATGTTTTGATTACAGTTTTCAGTGAAGAATGTTATTAAAAATTTTGCTGAATGTGGTCTGCAATGTTCAAAATTTATAGACAAATATTCTATTATCTGTATATCTTTAAGTTTATCATTCGTTTGCCATTGTCTGTGCGTTCTAGTACAATTAAAACATTTACTTAGCTTCTATATGCTGTGTGTATTCGTCCTCTGTACACAGCACCTTTAGGTAATGTTCTGGGTCATATATTAACTTTATTCTTCCCAACACAATTTAAAGACCAATTAAAAGGTGGATCCAACACAACCAAGCGAAGCACCCCGGCTTACACTTGATCACGTTGATAGATATTGCTGCAGCTGGTTAATTTCTGTAAATATGGTTACAACATACTTATAATTTGGTCTTCTGGATTTCCTATTGATTCTAATATGATACATTTCACTAACCAACCAGCTGCAGTCATCCTTCTGTAAATGTGTCGCACTGCAACTGCACAAAAAAAAATCATAGCATGTACATTCCCTTGTTTGTCTGTCATAAAAATTGCTCATTATGACTGTTCCTCCAGGTCACCATGGTAGAGTCTGTCCTCTCCAGTTTAGAAACACTCCATTATGTTTTTCAGTTAGGGTGTCGAACATGTTCATCATACCACCCACACTCTCATGTAGCTTCAGGTGAGCCTATGAGACAGATAAATGGCAGAAACAAGATATTATTAAAAGGAAAGGGAAGGACTTAATTTGCATAAATAAATAGCATTTAGAGCGGTGGTTCTCAACCTGTGTAACCTCAGGACCCACATTTGTTCTTGGTCATTAAGTCGAGACCCAAGTCGCGCTGCAATGGATTGCGCGGCATTGCAGTAACGGGCATTTGGGTGCTGGCGATCGTTCTGTGGGTGGGAGGTTAGTTTTGGATGTCATTCAAATTAATGGCAATGCAACGCACCTTCCACACCAGAACACACAGTAGGTGCGATTGCATGGTACAGTGCATTAATCGAATGGGACTGTGTGATTAACGCACTGTACTGGTGTGAGCGGACCCTCAAAAACACTGACAGACACACACAACCACACATGTACATACACACTACAAAAAAAATTATTATATATATATATATAAGAGCTGAAAGCAATGCATGTATGGATGGAGCTCCCTCATGGCCATACTTCTAGCCCACCACACCTCAAGCTGTCGCGCAGGGCCGGGCAGCATATTTTGAATGGCTGCTCAGCACAAGAACTGACGGTGCTATGCTAGGGGGAGGCTCAGGAGTCTCTCACCTAGAAGGAAGGCATGTCATGGCCCACTGAACATGGGCTCGCGACCCACTGAACGTGGGATTGTGACCCACTTTTGGGAACCAGTTGAGAACCAAGGCTTTAGAGAACTCTGCATCCATACTACATACACAAATGATATGTATTTATAATGTTCTCCAGCCATTAGCTTAGTTGGGGGCCACTTTGCCTGTTGATAGCAATGGTGTGTTCTAGGTTGGCCTAGCCAATAATGACCCTGTTGCTTAATGATCAGCGAGTGACCTGCTACTAGAGATCTGCCACTCTAAGGGGTGCTCACTTCAGGAGTGAGACCATCCTTTATGTACTGTATGGGCATATCTTGCCCCATTATGTTAGGTAATAATACATTTAACTGAGAAACCCTTTTAAAGATCACTACACAACTTCCAATGCACCTCCTTTGGTACTGGTTTGTCTGATTTTGACCTACCTTTGGTCCACCCATGTCTGTTTGAACCCAGCCAGGAGCAACTGCCACAGCAATAATCCCATCTGTTTTATAGGCCTCAGCCTGGCACCGTGTTAACATGTTTAGTGCAGCCTAAGGGAATAATAAGATTTATAATATGAGCCATACATAAACAGAAAGGATAGATCCAATACATATTTCCTTTGATTAGCTTGTATGGAATATTTATTAAATGTGTAAAAAAAAAAAGTACAAAAGTTG